ATGTATCTGTAGAGATTTGTGACTTGCAACTGGAATGACATATGAATCAACAGTAAGTATGCTCTTTTGTTCTAACTTTAAAGATAAAATTATCACAAGCAGTTATGCATATCTATGCATACTACATATGCTATATGCATATATACACAGATCTCCACATGTACATACACCCTGATGTTATTATGGCTATGTTATGCAATTTTTTTGTCTCTTTCCAAGTGATGTGAAAATAACATAGAGAATCAACACAAAATATTTTCAGTGAATGCTCAGTTGAGTAATTAATGCCATCTACAATTTTATTGGAAATAAAGACCCTGTCATCACTCTGAACTTCTAGGAAATAAATCAGCTATGCTTAATGATTATTAGATAAAGTTACTACTCTCATATGATAGTACCTTGTGTGAACAACATACTCACAAAGGGTTGACAAAATAGATATTGTGAATTGCAATAACTTTGAATAAGATGATGTTGTCAAGTGATTTTTGACTGCATTCTTGCTTTCAGTACAGATCTTCTACACCATAGCAGTGCTAGTCACTTAATTTTTGAACAGTGTTTGCCATGTAAGATAATGGGCAAAGTGAATCTTTGAAAACCTCTTATCGAAGTCAAAATTACTTTCTGTTGAAAAACTTCAATTTTTAAATTCGATTTAAAACATTTTCATTTTTGCTTTGGAAGAATGAGTAAGAAATTAATAAATACCTGAAAACCATAAACAATGTGAAAATATGCTATTAAAAGTAGGTTAAGTATAGGCCGGCGCCGTGGCTCAATAGGCTAATCCTCCACCTTGCGGCGCCGGCACACCGGGTTCTAGTCCCGGTTGGGGCGCCGGATTCTGTCCCGGTTGCCCCTCTTCCAGGCCAGCTCTCTGCTATGGCCAGGGAGTGCAGTGGAGGATGGCCCAGGTGCTTGGGCCCTGCACCCCATGGGAGACCAGGAAAAGCACCTGGCTCCTGGCTCCTGCCAGGATCAGCGCGGTGCGCCGGCTGCAGCGGCGGCCATTGGAGGGTGAACCAGCGGCAAAGGAAGACCTTTCTCTCTCTGTCTCTCTCTCTCACTGTCCACTCTGCCTGTCAAAATAAAAAAAAGAGAATCTAAGAAAACTGAAAAAAGTAGGTTAAGTATAAAAATTTATTTAATAGAATAAATTAACTTTAGTAGTACATTTTAAAAATAAGGCAAACTAATATTCTATTTCACTTTATTTTATTCATACTAATATCATCATATATAGGTAAAATTTTAAGTTGTTTATGAGGCTGTCATATGATAAAAATGGTATTTTAACAATGTATGTGTGAAGAGAATAACAAACTGATTTTTTGGGAATATGTAAGCAAGTTTCAAATACAAAATTTCTAAAATATTTTGTTATATATTATGATTGTTATGATAAAATTTTAAAATGTATTTAATAAATAAGGATATATGCGATTTATCCATATATCATATATATACATATATATACATATATACACATATATATATATATATACACCAGCCTTTATAGGCACTTGGGGATAAAGCAGTAGAAGTGAGCTCTGTATGCCTATCTACATCTGTATCACTGCCTCCCAAATAACTTTTAAAAAAGAGAAAGTAAAAGGTTAACATATCCAGGATTCTTACCCTGAAGTGAAGAACATTTTATAATGGCAAATCCCAGATAAGCAAAATATACCCACCGTATTCAGCTTCCAAAAAACGTGACTTATAATGGTATTGGAATTTCACAGTTAAAATTTTTAGATAAGACATAATAAAAATATAATGTTTTTTAATAATTCAGTGTCTTAGAAACTCTTTTTTTATTTTTTATTTATTTTTATTTTTTTGACAGGCAGAGTGGACAGTGAGAGAGAGACAGAGAGAAAGGTCTTCATTTTTGCCGTTGGTTCACCCTCCAATGGTGAACCGCACCGCGCTGATCCAAGGCTGGGAGCCAGGTGCTTCTCCTGGTCTCCCATGGGGTGCAGGGCCCAAGCACTTGGGCCATCCTCCACTGCACTCCCTGGCCATAGCAGAGAGCTGGCCTGGAAGAGGGGCAACCGGGACAGAATCCGGCACCCCAACCGGGACTAGAACCCAATGTGCCGGCACCGCAAGGCGGAGGATTAGCCTAGTGAGCCGCGGCGCCAGCCCTTAGAAACTCTTAATGTAGTGTTTATTACTAGAACATAATATCTAAAAATTTTGAAAAGTTTCAAAATAAAAATATATAAAGAGCATAAAGACAGTAGATATTACAGGTAATACCCTAAAGCTATATATTATAGATAACAACATAAGCCACAGAATAACAGACTCAAATTTTATCCATCTTAAGACATCAGAAGCACAGGCAATAAAGGCAGAAATAGACAAGTGGGATTGTATCAATCTAAGAAGCTTTTGCACAGCAAAGGAAATACTCAACAAAGTAGAGAATGTAGAAAATGTTTGAAAATTGTACATCTGGTAAAGGATTAATACCCAGAACGTAAAGGGAGCTAAAGAAACTCAACAACAAAGCAAACACTCCAGCTAAGAAATGGGCTAAGGATAAGTACAGGCATTTTTCAAAGATGAAATACAAATGACCAACAGACACAAGAAAAAATGCTTGGGATCACTAGATATCAGGAAATGCAAGTAAAAACCAACATGGAGATTCAAGTTATCCCAGTTAGAATGACTGTCATCCAAAAATCCAAAAATAGCAAATGCTGTTGAGGATATGGGGGGAAAAGTTATCCTAATATACTGTTGGTGGGAATGTAAACAAATACAGTTATGGAAGACAGTACAGAGATACATAAGAAAGCTGAACATAGATCTGCCATATGACCTAGCCATTCCTCTACTGGGAATTTGTTCAAAGGAAGTGAAATCAGTATATGAAAGAGTGATCTGTACTGTTATGTTTATAGCAGCTCAACTCACAATAGCTAAGATATGGCATCAACACAGTGTATATCAACCAATGACTGGATAAATAAATCATGGTATATGTACATGATAGAATACTATGCAGATAAGAAATTATGACATCTTGTCTTTTACAACAAAATGGATGCAATTGGAGACAATTATGATTAGTGAAATAAGCCAGTCCCCCCCCCCAAAAAAAATCATGCTTCCCCCAATTTGTGGTAACTAATATATGGAGCACAAAAACATTTAATATATAACAATAAATTTGACATTTTAAGATTTGATGATTGTTTATATTCCTCGTCTATACTCCTCAGGAACAGTGGCTTTTCTACTTACAACTTGTTTAATTCTTTATTTAATGAAGGGTTATGCTTGTGATTATAAAGTAAATAGAATGTCATTGCAAAAACTGAAATAAAAATAAGAAAGGAAGGAGGAGGAAGGATGGGAGTAAAGGAGGTTGGGATGGGTAGGATGGGAAGTATCACTGCTAATAACTATATATATGAAATAAATGCATTTTTGTTGCTTTACATAAATTTGTAAAGATTTATTTATTTGAATGGCAGAGATACAGTGAGAAGGAGAGACAGAGAGAGACAGAGAGAGATCTTCCATCTGCTGGTTCTCTCTCCAAATGACCACAATGGCCAGGGCTGAGCCAGGCTGAAGCCAGGAGTCAGGCACTTCTTACAGGTCTCCCATTTGGGTGCAGGAGCCCAAGCACTTGGGCCATTTCCCACTGTTTTCCAAGGCCCATTAGCAGGGAGCTGGATGGAAAGTGGAGCAACTAGGACTTGAACTGGTAACTATATCAGATGCCAACACTACAAGTGGAAGCTTAACCTACTGCGCCACAGTGCCAGCCCCACCCTTTATATAAATTTTTAAAACTAATTTATTAAGTTTATCTATTTTAATGATCTCTTTTATAATTAGTAATCCAACTCAGAAATTGGTAAACTGGACAACTATTCCACATCAAATTAGAATCATAAATTTCCTCCACATATAATAAGCAGACAAAATTTTTATTTTAGTAATAGAAACAATAACTGGACAAGTGAACATTTTAACTGCATTTAAATAAAGTGAAGTAGACACAAGGCAGTTGAATTAAAAAAGTTATAACCTGGTAATTTAGGTAATATAAATGGCTAAATATTAGTATTATTAATTAGAAAGAGCATCAGGGTACAATTTTTTTTCTGCCAAGGGCCATTTGGACATTTATAACATCATTTGCAAATCATACAAAATTATCAAATTAAAAATTACCCTGCTATAGATTTGCTGAATTCTTTGTCCCACCACTAGCTGTTTTGATTGGGTCAGACCTAATGATTTTGTGGGTCTTACGTGGCATGTGAGTAAGACATTCCCATCTTCTGAATGGATGAAAATTAGGTATTTTAATAATTGATAATTCTATATTACAAAAATGATTAATCATAAAAATGTATAAAATAGACCATAATGAGATAGGAACAAGCACATAGGATATCTTCCTTGTTAATGATATTGGAAGAAAACTTTAAATACATAATGTGTATTAGAAATGGTGTGTAAAATATTACATATTATAACTGCAGAAGAAAAGCTCATAATAAAAGCATAATAAGTATAACTAAATATATGTCCTACTAGTAAGAAGAATAAAACACTTTTTTGATTTAAATACCCACTTTTCAACATAAATGTCAAAAAGGACAAACATAAAATTTTAAATTTATAAAGCTGGCTGTGAAGAGACTAAAGATCATAGGTGTCATCATTTTCTGGACCATGCCTAATATTATAAAATTCTGCCCTCATTCCTGAAATTCCAATTCAAATTGCTCAACAAATGGATGGATTCACACAAATCCACCAAAAAAAGTATTGATTAGATAATGAACTGATAAATGGTGAAATTAGCTTCATCAAAAGTAATGGAATCTTTTTTTTTTTTTTACTGTAAATGTTGATCCTGTCATTAAAAAATGGCAACTCAGGTGAAATACATTGGAGTTATACTAAAAATCAATAAGGAATCTAAATATTTCTTTTCAAAAGTGTAAATAACCAACCTTTTCTTTTCAAGGGAGGCTCTTCTATTTCTCCTAAACCAAGACAAAAACAGTAAATTAGAAAAGTTTTTGGCATAGTATAATATGGCTCCATTATTTTCCCATTTATTGCTGCTCATATTATAAAACCTATTAGATTTCACAATCATATCCTTATGTTAATTTGGCTCCTAAATTCTAGTTGTTAAATATAAACTTTGTTTATGTACATTTGAGATAGTTTCATTTTTATGAGTTCAATAAAATTGTGGCCATGATCCAAATTCTACATTATAGGTCATACATCATGTTCATCTTAGTCCTTTATTGTTAATCTTGACCTCTCACTGGGGTCAAAACAAACATAAATTAGACAACGGTATAAAGGGGCTTTACTAATAAGAGCTTTCCTGGTAGCCAATGCTGACTACATGATTTCTGATTATTAATACTGACCCTAAAAATGTCATCTGAAAGATGGAATCACAATGTTTTGTTCTTTTCACATTCATTCAATGGCAGTATTTGTGTAGCTTGAATATGCTCGTTTCCTTTATTCATTAATATATATGAGAGACCACATGACTGGGTAATTGTTAACATTTCGGATCTGTCATTTCATTCTACATACCCAATGGTTTGGTTTAATACATTTTCTCTTTTGTTTGTGTATTTAGTAAGCTTGCATTCTACTATTTGACTATGAATATGACTTATGCATATAAAAAACATTAACATGTATTTTTGACTTTACTGTTTTATTTCAATTTTCCTAGAAATAAATTTGAAAAATAGCTACTATTTTTTCCCAATAAAGGATGTAAATAAGAATGCCTATTGTGGGTTTACAGTAGTAAACTGTAAATTGGGCTCTTTCTACTATAATGTTGTCTTAATGGTAGCATTTAATTTTGTCATCTGCGTCATTATTGTAAATAAACTATAAGATGAAATCTAAATAGAGACCAAATTACTGCACTTAGTGAGCTGTTGATATGCTTTTAGCATTCAGAAATCTATTCATTTTGGTACTCATTTGGATTCTTAAACAGCAATTGTAATAGCTATATATTATTAACTCCAGCAGTTGCATGTATATTCTATATTCTGTACCTTTAGCAGTGTCCTCATCCCCTTCATCATCTTCTTCATCACCATCAGATGAGATGATGTCAGACAACAAAGAAAAGAAGCCATAGATCCAATCCGTGGTTTCCTCCACAGCATCATGCACAAGTTTTAGAGGATCTGAGCCCATCTTGGCAATAGAGCTTGCTAAAAGTAATGAAAACAAAAGAAAAGGCTTGCAATAATTCCCAAAGAACCAAAGAAAAGCTGATTTTCCTGAGTCCTTATTTTAGCACAATGAATATCAATTTCAGGAACTGAAATATCACCTTTTTTTTGCTCATAAATGATATCCTGCCATAGTTTGAATGTATATGCCACTGAAAATCAAAGTTATTGGATAGCTCTGGTCCCAAACTTTGGGAATTGCCAAGGAATTTGCTTTTTAGAAGTTTGAAATCCAAGTGTATATTCAGTACAAGGAAAAATTAGGATAGTTTATGTATATTACCCAAATTGAAAATAAATACTATGTTATGGATGTTCAGGAATGGAACCTATTTTACTGGACAGCATCATGAAGAAAATAATTTTCTAAATTTGAGGACAATAAAGTCTCAAAATTATCTAAAATATATATGTCTAAATTAAGACAGACAGTTTATAATTTGTGATATATCAGGAAGAATCTGTAATAGGAAAGTGATCATATCAAGTTCAAGTTAGATGAATTAGGCTTATCCTTATTAAATATCCCAGAACCTCCAAGTAAAATTATTTCAACTTCTAATAATTTCAATGGATAGAAATATCAAAACCTACTCAATAAAATTTATATATCTTTTGGTTTTACATCCAAGGAAATATAAAATGTTTGTGAAATGAAATAAAAATGTAATAAAATAAAAAGATTGGTTTTCAAATGTGTTTTCTCCCAATTATGTGAAAATTATTCTGAAGAAAAATATAATAGTCTTCAGTTCCAATTGATAGAAAAATCTATCTAGAAATATAGTACGAAATACACCTGGTTATTCACCAATCTGTAATTAAATTTCAGAGTTATGTTTTTCTTCATTTTAGAAAACTGTTTTAGGATTTCAGAGAAACTTCTCCCTTTGATATATTTAAGAGACAAGAATTATAACAATGTATTATATTATCTAAAGGTTAGGTATTACAAATTTAGGCTTTTACTCTGATTGAGATAGGAAGTCATTGAAAGGTTTGAGCAGAGGAATGAACTAATTTGATTTATGAAACTTCTTTTGTTGTGTTGAGGATTAAAAGAATGCCAGGCAGGAAATGGGAAGACAGTCAGGAGCCAACTATTATAATTCAGAAGAAAGATGATAGTGATTTCTATCAGAGTTGTAACCATGTATGTGTTTAGATTTTGAATTTCTTTCAAGGATAGAATTAATATTATATGCTTTCAGTATGATCATTGGGTGTGTGAAAAGACCAAAATCCAGGAGAAATTCAAGATTTTGTGATAAACTAGAGCAATAGAAATGGGGAGAGGGGTGCTGGGAAGTGGAAAGAATCTCGGCTTTGTTGGGGGCAATAGAGTAGAGTAGTTGATTTTACACTTTTCAAACTTTCCTGTTAGTCTCTAAATGGGGAGGTAGATATTTGTGTAGCTCAAAATGATGTACAAAACAGAAGTTCTACCTGAAGATAGAAATTTGGGAGTTCAATAAAGAAGGGAAAATATTCAAAACCACAATACTGAATGAGATCACTGAGGGATTGCACCAGGAACACTTCAACATGTAGAAGAGAAAAAGATATGTCAGGAAGATGAGAGACCCGCTATTGATTCTGAGAAAGAGAAATGAACAAGAGAGCAAGAACAAGAGGGAGAGTGATCCAAGGCACTGTAATGCACTGAACTTCAAGTAAAAAATAATTTAAAGGAGAATAGAGTGAGCAACCAGCAAATGCTCTCTGTAGGTCAAATAAGATGGAAACTAAGAATGGAACTTTGGATTTAATGAGATTGTCATTGATGACCTTGAAAGAGCAGTTTCAGTGGAGTGCATCCAAGGCTAAATGGAAAAATATGGATACATTGAGTATAATTTATTGTAAATGATATAGATAGGGTAATATTTTAAGAGGGACTGATATTATGGTAGAATTTTTTGTTGTTAGTAAAAGCACTGTTGTTAAAAAGGGAAGAATATTCCAGAGTTTACAGTGATGAGTGATGTCCCCTCGACAGGAAAAAAAAAAAAAACCTGATATAAGAAAGAGAGTTGTGGGAGAAATTTTTTATTTTGTCTTCCACTCTAGGGGATCATGGAGCACACAGACTGTTCAATGACCCCAAGTTATAAAATGCAGATATCAGGAAGCCTGCCTCTATGATTAATTGATAATGTGCCTTCACTCTCTGTTCTTTATGTTACTGAATACCACGGAGTTCTGTGTAAAACAGAAATGGTGGTCTATGATGAAATTAATCCTTAGGGAAAGAAAATGAAATGGAATTTTATAATTGCCATTGCGAATTTAAAAAGAAGCATATGTAAAGAACTGTATCTTACTGGTACCATTAATGACATTTTTAGCACCGGCATCTTTTATGTCAAGTGCTGGAATACTGCAAATGGGATTTTTATGATTGGAATAGATTGAGAGCATTTCCTTATTTCCCTTCTTTCTATGAAGAACTTAACGATAAAATCCAGTAAAATAGATACCAGTTTAACCCTCCCTATGCTTAGATGAACTCCATGTATTTTGCAGACAGATGGACATTGTGAGGCTTTAAAATAATCAAATTAGGCTATTGTCCTGACGTCAATGCTGCTGAATTGAGACCTGCTTCTAATTTTCAGACAAACGCACACACACACACACACACACACACTTAAATAAGACAATAGTCCTGAAATTTTTCCAACTCCATCTTTCAGATATCACATAAAAATCATGTATATGGGAAGAATATTCTACAATATAACTAAAATTGTGTTGATGTTTTGTTCTTAAAGAGATACATAATTGTACAAGTGAGTTTTCTAAAAGTTCATTGAAAAGGAATATTATTAAAAAAACTACATAAATTTTAAAAAAATTTGCACAAAATAAACTAATCTTTAAGTCCAACTTCCCACAAAACTTTTAAAATCACTTTGTACTTTCTTACTTCTCATGTTTCCACAAATTCCACTACATACACAACAGTCAGTATCAGTATAAAAATAACAGTACCAGGGCCAGCACTATGGCATAGCAGATAAATTTACAACCTGCAGTGCTGGCATCCCACATGTACGCCAGTTCGAGACAGGGCTGCTCCACTTCTGATCCAACTCTGGTGTGGCCTCAGAAAATAGTAGATGGAGCAAGTCCTTGGGCACCTGCACCAGTGTGGGAGACCCAAAGGAAGCTCCTGGTTCCTGGCTTCAGATTGGTGCAGCTCTGGCCATTGCGGCCATTTGGGGAGTGAACCAGCGAATGGAAGACCTCTCTCTCTCTCTCTCTCTCTCTCTCTCTGCCTCTCTGTAACTCTGCCTTTCAAATAATAAATAAATAAATCATAAAAAATAACAGTACCCAGACACCATTTTTATACTTTACAAAAAATAAGTCACTTTATTTTCTCAATAACCCAGTGAAATAAGTGTGTAACTATATCAGCTTCTTAAGCATAGGAAATCTAGGCACAAAAATTTTTAAAAGATGCTAAAGTTTAGATTGCTAAGAAATGCTGGAGCCAGATTTCATACCCATCTTTAGGCCTGCAGAGCAAAGTTACTATGCCACATTCTGTCAAATGAACAAAACTATAAAGTCAGCATTAGTTTTTGGTTTAGATTTTGGATGCACAATTGGGGCCGGTGCTGTGGCTCACTTGGTTAATCCTCCGCCTGCGGTGCCGGCATCCGATATGGGCACCATATTCTAGACCCCGTTGCTCCTCTTCCAGTCCAGCTTTCTGCTGTGGCCTGGAAGGGCAGTGGAGGATGGCCCAGGTGCTTGCGCTCCTGCACCCACATGGGAGACCAGGAAGAACCACCTGGCTCCTGGCTTCGGAACAGCACAACGCCAGCCATAGCGGCCATTTGGGGATGAACCACTGGAAGGAAGACCTTTCTCTCTGTCTCTCTCTCTCACTATCTATATCTCTACCTGTCAAATAAATTTTAAAAAAATTTTGATGCACAGTCTACAGGAGGCCTTGCTCTTTTTTTATTTAAAAAATGTTTTTAAGATTTACTTTGGGGCCTGCACTGTGGCATAGAAGGTTAAGCCACCACTTATAGTGTCAACATCCCATATAAGTGCCAGTTCATGTCTGGATGATCCACTTCAGATCCAGATCCCTGCTAATGTTCCTAGGAAAGCAGTGGAGGAGAGCCCAATAAATAAAATGAATAAAGTTTTATTCCTCTTCTTTTTTGAAACCAAATGATACACATAATTAAATTTCTAAATGATTGTGCAAGAAGTTAAGTTAGGCAGTTTTTCCGCTCTCTATCTAAAGAATCAAGTCTGTTCTTTCACTATTATCTTTGACCATCAATTTTATATTTTTAAAGTTATGTGAGGGGTCTTCCCAAAGTTCATGGAAATGCATATTAAGAAAAAATTATACATATTCAAAAAGCATTTGCACCAAAATCAACTTAGCTTTTTTTTTTTTTTTTTTTTGGACAGGCAGAGTGGACAGTGAGAGAGAGAGAGAGAGAAAGGTCTTCCTTTACCATTGGTTCACCCTCCAATGGCCGCTGCGGCCAGCGTGCTGTGGCCGGTGCACCGCGCTGATCCGAGACCAGGAGCCAGATGCTTCTCCTGGTCTCCCATGGGGTGCAGGGTCCAAGCACTTGGGCCATCCTCCACTACACTCCTGGGCCACAGCAGAGAGCTGGACTGGAAGAGGGGCAACCAGGACAGAATCCGGTGCCCCAACCGGGACTAGAACCCAGTGTGCCAGCGCCCCAAGGTGGAGGATTAGCCTATTGAGCCACGACACCAGCCAACTTAACTCTTAATTCCATATTTTGTGAGCTTTTTAAATACCATTATATTTCACTCTTTTTTATCTTTCATATTCTGAGAAACACCAACTAGCTTACGTTCTGCTTTCAGATTGATCACGTTCAACTTCAAGTTTCTTCACGCTCCTCTTTCTAGTCCTGCTTCTTCTGTCACTTAATAGCTATGTGCTGTTGAGACAATTAACTTTTATCACA